GCAGCTCTAGACTCGAACGGAGCTCCGCAGCCCCTCAGGAAGAAGCAAAGATGGTGTATGGAGCCAGATATTTGAGCGAAAGGAGGGGGAGGTGGTGAGAGGTAAGGAAGAAATCAAAAGAAGCGGAAAAAAAGCAACACCAGCAGCCAACAAATGGCACTCAGAGAGCCAGCTAGTGCAGGCTGGTGGAATCCAAGTAGCTGGTTCTTCTCGGACAAGAGACTGTGTCCACGGGAAGCAGAGGAAGCTGAGTGTGGGTGAAGAAGGGTAGGGGGTGGGAAAGCGTGTATCGCAAATTACTGGAGCTCCGCAGCCCCTCAGGAAGAAGCAAAGATGGTGCACGGAGCCAGGTATTTGAGCAAAAGGGGGGAAGGTGGTGAGAGGTAAGGAAGAAATCAAAACAAGCAGAAAAAAGCAACACCAGCAGCCAGCAAATGGCACTCAGAGAGCCAGCTAGTGCAGGCTGGTGGAATCCAAGCAGCTGGTGCTTCCCGGACAAGAGATTGTGGCCGTGGGAATCAGAGGAGGCCGAGTGGGGGTGAAGAAGGGTGGGGGGGTGGGAAAGCGTATATCACAAATTACTGGTTGTTTTGTCTCCTGCTGGAAGCTCCGTGAAGCTGCTTTCTCGTACCCCCTATTTGCTGGTCTCCAGTAGGAGTCCAAGATGGCGGATCCACGCTGCGTTAGCTGGTAGGGGACCTCTGCATGAATCTCTCCTCACTCTCCATTCTCTGTCAGTTTTCTCACTCCATTTGGTGCTGTGCTGAGTTCTTTATCTCTTCATTTGCTGTTTTAGGGTTTCAGGATTGTTGTTTTCTCTGTTCGGCTTAGGTTTTCGGATCTTTGCTGTGGAGGGACAGCATGGTGCTTCTGCCTAGAGCGCCATTTTGCCGGAAGTCCTCCCTTTGCCTATTTTTTAATTGGTTTGTTAGTGTCTTTGCTGTGGAGTTTTAATTTTTTGTGAATTTAGCTTCTATTAAGCTAATATCTAGTTTAATGAAAGACAGCTGGATTCTCACATCTGTTTCTGTAGTCAGTCTGTTGCAACATCACTGTCTTAGTTATCTAGTGCTGGTATAACAGAAATACTGCAAGTGGATGATGATTTAACAAACCGAAATTTATTTTATCTCAGTTTAGAAAGATAGAAGTCCAAATTCAGAGTGCTAGCTCTCAGGGAGGGCTTTCTTTCTCTGTCGGCTCTGGAAGAAGATCCTTGTCTCTTTGAGCTTCTGCTCTGGGAGATCTTCATGTGGCTTGGCATCTTTCTTTCCCTGTTTCTGCTTCTCTCCCTTGCTTGTTTAATCTCTTTTATATCTCAAAAGAGATCGACTCAAGATACATCCTCATCCTGCCTCATTAACATAATAAGCGTAACCTAATCCTCATTGACGTACCCATCTGCCTTGGAAGAAGTACAACCAGAATGCTACTTAGAAGCGAGGATGCCAAGACTTTGTCTCACGTACTTTGAATGTGTTATCAGGACAGATCAGTCCCTGGAGAAGGACATCATGCTTGGTAAAGTCGAGGGTCATTGAAAAAGACGAAGACCCTCAAGGAGCTGGATTGACACAGTGGCTGCAATGATGGACTCAAGCATAGCAATGATTGTGAGGATGGCACAGGACCGGGCAATGTTTTGTTCTGTTGTACAGAGGATCCCTATGAGCTGGAAAGGACTGGAGGGCACATAACAACAACAACAGCAGCAACAACAATCCTGCCTCATTAACATAACAAACACAACCCGTTCACAAATGGTTTATAATCACAGGCAGAGGTTAGGATTTACAACATATATTTTGGGGGGACACAATTCAATCCAAAACAATCACAAATCTTATATGTTCTGGAAAACTCCACTGTACTCTTGAGGGAAAATGAGAGTGAAAAAGGGAAATAACAGCTTAGTATCATTACAAAAATAATTTTGATCTCACAGACTCTGAGAAAAATGTCAGGACCATGGTTTGAGAACTTTTGCCTTATACTTTTTAGCTCTGACGTGAGCTATGAAAATTTTTTCCTTTAATATGCCATTTACAAATTAGTCTGTCTTTATGAAAAAATGTTTAACATTGCCCAAGATTTTCTTTATAAAGTCCCATAAATGGAAATGTGTGCTTGCAAATAGATGACTGTATCTGTGATAATCAGATCAGATACAGTTTTGTATATAAAGACTAAAATCCAATTAAAAGCGATCTATTGGAGATATATATGTGACATTGACTACACTTGGAGTAAGCAGATAAATAGAATACAGAAACCCATTAGGATACACTTATGGAAAATTAAGATCTTTGAGCACTTGTCTTTGATGTATTAGAAAAGAAGCAGAACCAGAACCAGATCCTACTTGGCAGAGTTTGTTTACTTTGCTCATCAGAAATTAGAGCCAACAATCCTGGTTTTCAGTGACTTGATATGTCTCTGTAAATGGGCCAGTTTCCGCACATGGACCATAACATAAATACACTATACACATACCTTCGTGTATTAGCTTAGTATTTAGATCAACTTGTAACCTTAATTCTTTGAATCTAGAAAACATACCCTAGTTTACGAGTGTACCCTGGAATAGAGCACGTTAGCCCCTAGCCAGACATAGAGCAGGTTAACCCTGCTGGTGTATACCATCAAGTCAATTCTGACTCATAGTGACCCTAAACATATTCCTGTGTTGCCTAAAGAGTCGCTTTTCTTTTTCTCTGTTTTCTTTGTCTGCCCAGGTAGAATTCAGTTTACTTATTTTGTGAAAAAATTCAAGTTAAGGAAATCAAACACCTGGTACTTAGAGGCAAAAGACTGCTTCCTAAGAATTTACGTATTTTTTTCCGCTTCAGTGATGTAAGAACCTAGGCTTCCTGCTCACACAATAGGATTGTTAAAGAAATAAATCCAGATTGTTTCTTGGTTCCTCTTTCTTTCATGGTAAGCAACCTCATTTTTGTCCTTTGTTTTTATAGTTGATTGACAGGCAAAACGGCTTTTGCCTTCACTGGACCGAAACTTATAGAAAGCAGGGACCATAAGAGTATGTAGTAGGCCCTCCATAAGTGTTTGCTTTATTGAAAAAAAATTGCTTAGGAACATTTTTTTGAAAAGGCACATTTCATAGACTTTTCCAGTCAGTATTAATAATGATGATGTATGTAAGCTTTTCTGCTTCTTTTCTTGGCTTGAATGCTTTAGTAAATGATCATGCCATCTGTTTAGAATCAGTATTTCAGGGATGAGGAAGAAAGCATTTTGGGTGAGAAATCATTGCTGTAAAGTACTTTCTACACAATTGCCAAAAACCATTTTCCATGCCCATTTCTTGGAAAGCCATACCATTACTCATCTTACTGATTTCCCGTGCTTCCTCATTGTCTATGAATCAAGTGGAGATGCTGATTTTTTCCTTTTAAAGCTTTCCAGCAGCTTATCCCAGGGCCTGTCTAATTTATTTAATTAATAGATTTTCCATTGCAGTTTTAACTTGCTATTACATACCTTAAGTGGTTGTTGTTAGCTGACATTGAGTCGGCCCCAGACTCATGACGACCCAGTGTTACAGAAGAGAACTGCTCCATAGGGTTTTCTTGGCTATAATCTTTATGGAATAAGATCGCTAGGCCTGTTCTTCCACAAAGCTGCTGGGTAGGTTTGAACCTCCAGTGTTTAGGTTAACAGCTGCTAGCAAACCGATTGCGCCACCTGGGCTCCTTTATACTAGATACAGCCAAATTGAAGTTTGGTTAAGATTTACAACATGGGAAATCATGAAAAGTATATTATTGACACTATTAATAAAGACCAGAAGAGAAGAGCATATACATTCATAGGGCAGTAATTGTGTATACATGCATATGTGTGTAAGCACATATATACCCGCTCCTCACTTAATCAACATGGTTAGGTTCCAAAGACCAGGTTGTTATACAAAAATCAGTGTTATGCAAAAATGGAGGATGACCACATCAGATCACAAAATAGAGGATGACTGCGTCATTACACAACTGCAAAATTAGATCATTACATGACTACCAGATCACATCATTACATAACTGCCAAATTACATCATTACATAACTACCAGATTACATCATTACATAACTGCCAAACCACTGAGAATCATGTCCCAGCCAAATTGACACATAACCTTAATCATTTATAGTCAACGTTACTGTGCATTTTTATTTTTCCAGTATTACACCTATTTCTTTTCTTTTTTTGCGGCGGGGGTGGGGGGGGTAATTGTTAATGGCATTGTATTTTTAACCTTGGTGTCTACATGTTCATGTGGAATTGCTGGGTCATATGATAATTTTATGTTTAACTTTTTGAGGACTCCATTTCATTTTTATTAATACTTATTTGTCTCGTTTTATTGTGACATTAGGGAAGGGACCTGAGATATATTCTAGTATCTTTGGTGTCCTTTAAAAAAAAAAAAAACAACAACCCAGACTGAAGATTGATTTCTACTCTTATTCTTTGCTTATTTCTGTATTCTTTTCATTACAGTGATGGCCACTGATAATTAAATTACTTGAGAGACCCACAGGTTAAACCATGATATATTTTGAAAAATTGTGAGTTTTTATTTGTTCATAGTATTACTTTCCTATTCACAAATTTACCTGTGATTTTATTTACTTAGAAAAAAGAAAGTGAATGTCTGCAATTAAAAATTTTGGTGCTTCGAAATGAACTGGAAAGACAGAAGAAAGCTTTGGGACAGGAGGTGGCATTACTGCATAAGCAGCAAATTGCATTACAGGACAAAGGTGAGTAGAAACATCATACAAACAGGTCAACCTCCACATTTTGTAGTTTTTATTTATTCTTTTCTATAGGCTCAGATAGTCAACTCTCTGCAAATTTGATAGAATTTTCTTCAATTTTTAAGTGTTACATACATACAGAAAAATGCATGAATCCATAGGTGTACAGCTCACTTTTCACAGTGTGAACATACCCATGTAACCAGAATTCCCAGGAACCTAGCACCCAGAAGCCTCCTCATGCTCCCTTCCAGTCACTATATCTCCAGCTAGACTAACCACTACCCTGACTATAAGACCACAGATTGGTTTTGCCTAATTTTGCACTTTTAAAAATAGAATTATAGAATATACACTCTTTATGTGTCTGAATTTGCTCAACATTTTTGTGACATTCAGCCTTACCTTCATGTAGTCAGTTTATTCATTCTAACTGCAGAATAGAATTCCATTGTATGAATATGAATTTATTCACTCTTACTATTGATGGCATTTCAGTAATTTCCAATTTGGGGCTATAAAATATGATGCTTTTATGAACATTCTAGTATGTATTTCTTAGTGAAGATTTTTATGCATTTCTGTTGTGTATAAACCTAAGAGTAAAACTATATGGTCATAGAGTATGCGTGTGTTCACCTTTAGGAGATCGTATCAAAAAGTCTTCCAAAGTGGTATTGACCTGCTGAGTGAAATAAGTCAATCACAAAAGGACAAATATTGTATGATACCTCTATTGTAAAAACCCATGAAAAAGTTCACACACAAAATGTAACAATCTTTGTTGGTTACGAGGGGTGGGGGTGGGGAAAATACTAAATAGGCAATAGATAAGTGGTATCTTGGGTGAAGGCTGAGACAGTACACAAAACAGGGGAAACTAGCACAACTTGTACAAGGAAAGGTCATGGAAGCCCCAAAGACACATCCAGACTCCCTGAGGGACTGAATTGCTGGGTGGAGGGCTGTGGGGACCATGGTCTTGGGGAACATCTAGCTCAATTGGCATAACACAGTTTATAAAGACAATGTTCTACATTCTACCTTGGTGAGTAGCGTCTGGGGTCTTAAAAGCCTGTGAGCGGCCATGTAAGATAGTCCACTGGTCTCATCCCTTCAGGATCAAGGGAGAATGAAGAGAACAGGTTGCAAGGAAAAGATTAGTCCAAAGGACTAATGGTCCACAGCTACCAAGGCCTCCACCAGACTGAGTCCAGTACAGCTAGATGGTGCCCGGCTACCACCACTGACTGCTCTGACCAGGATCACAACAGAGGGTTCTGGACAGAGCTGGAGAAGGATATAGAACAAAATTGTAACTCACCAAAAAAAAAGACCAGATTTACTGGCCTAAAGGAGACTGGAGAAACCCTGAGAGTAAGGTCCCCAGACACCCTTTTAGCTCAGTGGTGAAGTTATCTCCGAGGTTCACCATTCAGCTGGGGAGTGGACAGCCCCGTAAAACCAAATGGGACTAATGAGGTACAGTAGTCCAGTGACAGGGGCCAGAAGGCAGAAGGGAACAGGGAAGCTGGTGATAGGGAACCCAAGGTTGAGTAAGGATATTGTTTATGTGAGATTGTTAACCATTGTCATAGGGCAACATGTGTAGTAACTGTTAAATGAGAAACTATTTTGTTCTGTAAGCCTTCCTCTTAAGTGAGAATAGCAGCACAATTGGAAGAGCATAGTCAGTATCACTGAACTGTGCATGTAGTAATTTTTGAAATGGTGTGTCTTTGGCTATGTGTATTTTCACCAAAAAAAAATGGTTGAGAAGTTAGAGGGTTGACATGTTGTGGGGTTGTTAACCAATGTCATAAAACAATATGTGTACTACTGTTTCATGAGAAACTATTTGTTCTGTAAGCCTTCACCTGAAGTACAATTAAAAAATAATAATAATAATTTTAAAAAATTAAAAAAAAAGAAAAGTGGTATTGACCATTTACCTAACCTTCAACCAGCAGTGTATTAGAGCTCTTGTTCTACCTCTTTGTCAGCATTTGGTACTCTTTTTTTTTTAATCCTTTCTAGTGAGTATGTGTTAGTATTGTGTTGTGGTTTTAATTTCTATTTCCCTGAAGACTAATGAAGTTGGGCAACACTTTTTATGTTTATTTGCGACATGGATACACTCTTTTGTGAAGTACCTGTTGAAGTCTTTTGCCCTGTTTTTTTAGTTGGTTTGACTTTTTTGGAGGGTGTAGGAGCTCTTTAAGGAGCACCACGAACACAGTAAGGAGCCCTAGTGGAGCAGTGGTTAAGTGCTCAGCTGCTAACCAAAGGTCGGCAGTTCGAATCTACCAGCCGCTCAGTGGGAGAAAGATGGCAGTCTGTTTCCGTAAAGATTTACAGCTTTGGAAACACAATGGGGCAGTTCTCCTCTATCCTGTAGGGTCACTGTGAGTTGGAACTGACTCAGCAGCACCTGACAACAGCAAGAGAAGCTCTTTATATATTTCATATAAGCATTTTTTGTTTGAAACATGCATTACAGTTACATTCTCCCACTCTGTTGCTTGCTGGTTAACTCTTTAGTGATATCTTTTAATGAACAGAAATTCTATTTGATTAGTCTTTTCCTTTATAGGTAATGCTTTTTGTATCCAGTTTAAGAAATCTTTGTCTCAAACTTAACTGAAAGATGCTATTCTGTGCTTTCTTTTAAACTTTTTACTGTTTTATATTTATATCTAGAATTCATTTTTGTGTATGGTGTAAGATAAGAGTCAAGGTAATTTTTTGTTACATAGTCAATTGACCCAGCACCATTTATTGAAGATATCTTTTGTTTTCTCCATTGCTCTGCATTGTCATTTTTGTCATAAGTCAGATGCCTATATATGTAAAAGTCTATTACAGTACTGTCTGTGGCCAATCTACTGGATATAAAGTGGAGCCACGTTGGTTTTGAATTGTGTTTCTCTAATAACCAGTGATCTTGAACATCTTTTCATGTGCTTATTATAGTTGATCTTTGTATGTTGATTTTATATCCAGGGACCTTATTAATTCTAATAGTCGTTACGTTATTTTGGCTTTTCAATGTACACAATCTGTTTACTTGCAAATGATAATATTTAAATTTTGTATTTCTTATGCCTTTTATTTATTTATTTTTTGCCTTACTGTACTGTCTAGGACAGCCAGTACAATACTGAATAGATGTGGTGACAGTGGATATCTTTGTCTTACTTCCAGTTTGAGGGCAAAAGTCAATATTTCACCATTAAGTATGATGTTTACTGTAAAGTATTTTGTAGTTCTTATTTTGTAATTTGCCTTTTTCAGGTCATTTACCCACTTTGTCATTTTGTGTTACTGTTTTTAAAATAAATTCATAAGAGCTCTATGTGTGATTTCTTTTTAAACGTCGGTTTTACTGAGTTATAATTTACATATAATCAAATTCATCAATTTTAAATATACAGTTTGATAAGTTTAACTAATATATTCATTCATGTAGAAACCACCACACTCAGTGATACAGAGCATTGTCATCACCCTAAAAATTGCCTTTGCTTCTTTGTAGTCACTTCCTTTCCCTAACCTTTAACCTGGCTGTTACTGATGAACTTTTTTGACATCATTTTGACTTTTTCAGAATTTTTTGTAAATGGAATCACAGAACGTGTACTCTTTTGTGTCTGGCACTCTTTCACTTAACATAATGCCTTTGAGATTCGTCCATGTTGTTGTGTGTCAGGAATTCTTTCCTTTTTATTGCTGTGTCGTATTCCACTGTATGTATGTACCACAATTTGTTTATCCATTCACCTGTTGATGGACATTTGGGTTGTTTCCTGTTTGGAATTATTATGGGTAAAGCTACTGTAAACATTTGAGTGTAATCCTCTGTGTGAACATATTCTCTTGGTTAAATAACTAGAGGCAGAATTGCTGGATTTAGAGTATGTGTTTAACTTTATAAGAAACTGCTAAGCTGTTTTGCATTTCTACCAGCAATGTATGAGAGTTCCATTTACATTCAAACATTTCTAATTTTAGTCATTCTAGTGGGTGTGTAGTGGTTTCACATTGTGGTTTTAATTTATATTTTCCTGATAACTAATGAGGTGTTAAGAATGTTTTCTTGTACTTATCTGTTATCTGTATCTCTTCTTTGTTGAAATATCTGTTTAAATCCTTTGCCTGTTTTATTGTTGAGTTTGCTTCTTTGTTTACCAGCTATGTGACCCTACCCATTTAATTAGCTTCGTCTCTAAACTGAGGCTCAGAATAATACTTACGCCTACACCTCACTGAGTTTTAATAGCTCCCAAGTTCTGCTAACGCTATTGGGCTGTGAACCACACTTTCTGTAGCAAGTATGTGTATGATGATCAGTTGAGTTGTAAAAATATAAAGAGGAACAAAATACATTCTTCTCTTTTATTCCTGTATCACACTTCGGTGGGTTTCTGTATCACTTAAGATAAAGTCCTGACTCAAGAAGACTTACAAAGGGCCACATCAAACGGAATGCTTCAGTTCCTTAAATATGCTTTGCTCTATGTCACCTACTGTCTTAGTTATCTAGTGCTGTTATAACAAAATACCACAAGCGGGTGGCTTTAATGAACAGAAATTATTTTCTCACAGTTTAAGAGGCTAGAAGCCTGAATTCGGGGTGCCAGCTCTGGGGGAAGGCTTTCTCTGTCCACTCTGAGGGGAGGTTCTTGGTGAGCATGTGGCGTGTGTCTTCTCCTCACATATGCTTGCTTGCTGCTTTATCTACTCTTTTATCTATGAAAAGAGATTGATTTAAAACACACCCTACACTAACACTGCCACATTAACATAACAATGAAAACCCATTCCCAAATGGGATTATAACCACAAGTACAGGGGTTAGGATTTACAACACATTTTTGGGGGACACAATTCGATCCAAAACACCTAAATTCAGGCCTCTGTTGCTTTCTCCAGAACACTGTCTTTGACTCCCTTCCCCTTCTCCTTTCACCCGTAACTCCCAGGTTACGTGTCCTGTTGTGTTT